ACAGTGCCGTACTGATGCGCCAGCCAGCCTGCTTTGATAGGTTGATAGCCACACATCCCGCTCCCCCCTTTACTATCCATCCATCTCACCTTGATGTTGGGGTTCTGGCTGCGCAGGTACCGGCCTGTGCCAGTGACCGTGCCGCCCGTGCCAATGCCAGAGACAAGGAAGTCCACTGTGCCGCGCGTGTCCTCCCAGATCTCCGGCCCGGTCGTCTCAAAGTGCACCTGCGGCGAAATGAGCCACGAATTATAAGGGGAGACCGCATGGGAGTGGGGGTGGGAGGAGAGGGTGTGCGAAACGAGGGTGTGCGAGAAGGGGGATAATTGATTCGTTACTGGCAAAGTAACACGCGGGTGTTCGTTTTTGTCATCTTTAGAAACTCGACCTACAAGCCCTTGGAGTTTGCAGGCTTTTGAACTCCATGTAATCTCCTGCAGCATCACTTTTGACGCGCCTCAAGAGTTGGATTTCGCAGACTTTCCGGAACTCCTGCAGCTTGCGCGTTCCGTTCCGTCGGATCGTGCCCATTCACAGCGCCCTTCACGAACTGAGAAAGGTCATTCCCGTACAACTCCACACAAAATTTTCGCTATTATCTCGCCGTACCTTGGGATTGGCGGGGTTCTCGAACTGCTGCAGCATGTACGCGTCCTTGGTGCCCTTCACGATCTCCTCCGCCTTGGCAACAGCGCCCTTCATGCCCTTGGCGGGGTCCGTGAGAACCAGCTCGGCGCCAAACGCCTGAAGCAGCACGCGGCGCTCGAGGCTCATGGAGGCGGGCATGGTGAGGACGAGCTTGTAGCCCCTCGCCGCTGCTATGAACGCCAAGCCGATGCCCGTGTTGCCCGACGTCGGCTCCACCAGCACGCTCTGATGGGAGGGGACAGGGGGAACGTGGTAACAAGGGGCAAAGGACAAAACTGATGCCGGTGTTGCCCGACGTCGGCTCCACCAGCACGCTCTGAGTGGATGGGGAGGACAATCAGGAAAGGGAGATCTGTAGCCAGGAGAATGGTACTGCTAATTCCCGTGTTACCCGACGTCGGCTCCACCAGCACGCTCTGAAAGAGTTGACGGGTGTAGGGATGACGAGAGGGACGCGTCAGAGAGATAGCACAAGACGATGAAACGCGTAAATAAGACACGCGAGTGCATATTGTAACGAAAGGCGGTAGGGAGAAATTTTGATAAAAAAATGCTGGAATTCGATCTCCGCTTACCTTTCCCGGCTCAATGAGGCCTCGCTCCTCAGCGTCGTTAATCATGCTGTATGCGATTCTGCGGAAAACGGGTGGGGTAAGGTAATGACACGCGAAATGAATTCCAAAAAAAGACACAGTGAGATGGCGTAGAGACTGACGCGAAATGGGACTAATGACCTCTGAGTTGCTTCGAAATTTCCTGTTAATGACTCCAGAACAGGCTAGATGTAAACTTAAAAAAAAAAAAAAAAAACTCCAATATTACTTAATGGTAAAGAGAGGGTAAATAAGCATCAGACATACGACTTCTGCAATTTATAATCATTTCGTAACAATGCGCATTGCGCATAGAATCACGGAAATGAGGTCCCGCTTCAACTTCATAAGCAAGGAGTTCAATTTCGACAGAATTAATTTCTCCTGTCTTTGGCGTTGCCTCGCGGCTAATTAAATTTTATGGCTCTCATAAAAGCTGACAGTGTTAATCAAAACGGCATACCTGTCCTTGACACTGCAGCAGGGCTCCATGATTTCGAGCTTCGCTGCGATGTTGGCGACGCAGCCGTCGACGACCTTATTCAGATACACCATCGGAGTGCTGCCGATCAGCTGCACGAGTAGCACGTGGGAAACATTTCTAAAATAATAATCAGTACATGCTTGCCTGCTTCTTAAGGTACCGCGTCGAACATTATGCGATAAGCAGCAAAGATCGCTAATGAGTTAATTTCAGTAAAAATGTAACACGACGGCAAAAAATAAGAAGATAATATTGAGATACTGTCAAGGTATTTTACCGACCTGAGTCACATCTGCAGCGATGTTCGTCACCGTCGCAGCTTCAGCCTCCACAGCTTGAGCTTTCGCTGAAACATCCTGCTTCCTAATAGAGGACGCCTCGCACCGACCCGCTGCGGCTGAGAAGGAACGAGCGGGCTTCTTGGCTTGAACAAACGACACGACTGGCTTCAGGAACGAAGTCCGAAGCTCAGCCGCGGAAAAGCAAGCTGCAGCCTTGACAGTCGAGGACGAGACTGAGACAGCAGCCATTGCTTCAAAATGGAGAAAAACCAAGAAACAACTCAAAGCAAAGAAATCCTCTCTGACGACAAAAACAATGCCTGAAAAAGAGAGGTCTTGCAGACAGTCTGCAGGTGACTGAACAATAACGAAAGGGCGGACAATGGGATCATCACCAGCAGCAGAAGCAGCACAGCAGCCAGGGATGATGATTCGCTACACCTGCGGTGACACGATAGCCGCGCGGAGAAAGATGCGCGGATGCTTGCGCCGCTGCGCGAAGTGCGGTGGCTGTCTGGAAAATGCTGGGTGGGATAGGTTTGGTTTGGGTGGAGGGAAGGGAGGGGGGAGCTTCGAGAACTTCGCCTGCGCGGAGGCAATACTGTAATCTCCCCCACTTTACTCAGCGATGAACGCTAGCGAAACTCGGCCTTTTGCGAAAAGGAGAAACTGGACGCAATCACCAAAATATCTGCTTGCGAAGCTGTCTGGCGAAACTGGGAGATGCTCCCAGCTCGCAGGCAGGTCCCTCTGATCTGACAACCTGATCCCGCCGTCTCCAATCATATCCGGCCGGCCATCTTTCTGACTAATGAAACCCAGGCACGTCCGCAGCAACAACACTAGAAACTTGGAAGGTACACGAACATCACCTACAGTATCAAACCAGTGTTCCTACATCGAGATTCTAGTACAAAGAAATTGGTCATACATCGCAGTTCCACAATCCATAGCAGAATCAATGAGAAATATCTGTAAGTAGGGGCAGTATATTCTCTTATTGATGCTCTCTTTGTCGAATGTTTTCGAGTTTGAGCGGCTCCAGGATGGCAGAAGCTGTATCCCACTGGATTGCTTGTTGCCTAGTCCAAATCCGCTGTACAGTACCCCCAACCAAGTTAAAGAGTGTTCAAAGTGCTGCATTTTTTCCGACGTCGATCAACGTCGAGGTTGGTGGGGAAGGTAGGTGAGCTGAAGGGTGCCATTTCCGTGTTCAAAGTACGCTTCAAAAACTGCTGACGCCAGCATCGCTACATGTACGGAATTGTGCAATAATTCCGGCGCAGAAACGGTCAATATCAGAAGATTGAGCGCATCTCTGCAAAGTTGGCCGGATCACATTCAGGGCTATTGCTAGGATTTTTGCTAGCTCGGACGATCCGGGCCCCTGTGAAAAAGACCCTGTAAAATCCGAGCCAGCGGGAAAAAAACCTTGACGAATCCGGGTTCGAGCCAGAAAAGGCCTGAAAACATGCATTACCAGAATTTCGCGGGAAACTCACAGTGGGTTGCGCGAGGGCTGGGGAGATTGGAGATGGAGTGGCTCTGGAGGGGTGAGCGAGATACTTTTTGTAGACTTAGAAAAAAATACGATGAGGAAGAGTACATCGGGAGAACAGGGCAATCAGACACTCTCTCCTTATTGGCCTTCTAAGCCATGTCGACGTAGAACGGGGCAATCAGACACATGGAGGCCAACAAGGAGAGAGTGGTTAGGAAATTCACTAAAATTGGCCCAACGTGTGTTTAGAGGGAGACCGAGAGGAATGCAAGGCAGGTCGGGGAGAACATGTCTGCTAAAATTATACGGGTCCCCTTGAGAACTCCCCGGAGAGATCCGAGCTGACTCAAAAATCACCCTTCAGTTTTACGGGCTGGTCCGGAAAAAACCTTGTGAAAATCAGGGCTCCTAGAAAAAACACCCTATAATTTCAGTCAAAACAGGGTAATTGCCCTGATAACTTAGGCCCTGATCACATTAGACAAAATGATAGATTTGGATTGGTTGGTTATTTTGAGCATTGCGAAGATGTATATCTCGCTTTGCAATTTTCGCAGCCAATCGACGCACAACAGACGTTGACGAAAACAATTCACGATTTCAGTTTTGGTCTCAATTCAATTGTTCAAAACTCTCAATTCAATTGTTCAACGGCCTCAATTCAATTGTTCGACTGTTAAGGCCGGCATTTGTCCTGAGTGACAGTTCGTCGCCGGCAATGTGTTCAAAGTGCGGAGGCTCGACGTCAATCGACGTCGAGCTCGACGTAGATCGACGTCGAGCGTCCGACGTCGGAAGATGTAAAAAATTACTTTGTACACGCCTTTGTCTGACTGCTGGCGCGGAGTCCTATGACGAATCACGTGTGGTAGTGGATTTCTAAGAAGTTACCATAGTGCGAGTCTCTAAATCATGGCGAATCAGATGCAGAACTGCTTTGGCTCTGGCCAACAGCGCAGAAAGTCGCATCCCGTTCTTGCCGTGAAAGCAACGCGCCTTGATCTTACAGTCGGGGAATCGTCTCGTGGAATGTAAACAATCTCCGACCTTCGCAATATCCCCGCCACTAGTAGCAGACTCGCTGTTGCACACGCTGTTTCTGCACTAGCAAATTCATACATCATCTGGCGTTTTATTTACGCTGTCGCTGCTGTGTCAGCAGATTCATGCTTCAACTACCGGCTTTTATTTCATCTGGTTTAAAGACCTTTCGGTTCGCTACTGCAGGCCCGCAGCACGCTTCATTGTCGACACAGTCACTACTAAGAAAAAAAACGAATCCAAGCCGTTGCAGTCACAGACCTGAGCGCAGCGGGAAACCCGCGAAATTGAAGGTTTTTTTGTATTTATTGTTAGACCTCCTCGACTAAGTGTTTTGTTTTATTTGGGAAGAAACAACTTCGCATATTATCTGTCGAGTCCTTCATTAGGGGAATAACAAGCAGAAGCCGAAAATAGGGGCGGGTTTGACAGGAGGAAGGAGGTCGGAAACAATGCAGTTTATATGGGGACTGAAGAGCGCCTTGTCGGTTCTGAACCCGCATCATTCGCAGCAGCATCATCGCCATAAGGGGCCAAAGCGACCGGAAACCAAGATTGCTGATGACGTCACTCAGGTACACCGTGGCTCTTCCCTTGCCAATCCCGACTCCTAACACTCCCAGCTGCTTAGCTGCCCAAATGCCCCGACTAGTTGAGCAAAATGCATCTGCAGATGCGTCTTCATGAACTAGTACTAGGTGATATCATGCGTGTTGGGAGCATTGCATAGAAGCCGATGATCGTTCACCCCTTCATCGATCCCCTGCTTTTTATTGGTGTATCTAAACAAGGTGGCGGAGGGGGGGTGTGGGGAAGGGTGTGTGCGGAGGGGGTGTGTGGGGAGGGGTGTGTGCGGAGGGGGTGTGCGGGGAGGGGTGTGTGCGGAGGGGGTGTGTGGGGAGGGGTGTGTGCGGAGCATTCACCTACCACCTTCCATCGTGAACCCTTGTTCCTTTACCCTTGTTCCTTTACCCTTCACCCCCTCGTTTTGAGGCGCCTCAAAATTATTCCTTAACCCTTCACCCCCTCACTCACACCCCCAGCTCATCGGTCGCACGCCCATGGTTTACTCAAACAAGGTCTCGGAGGGGTGTGTGGGGAGCATAGGGTGCAAGCTGGAGGGCATGAAGCCGTGTGGTGTGGGAGGGAGCATCAAGGAATTCCGAAGCCTCTGACAAGCTGAGGCTCATTATCGCCTCATCTCTCCCCGTGTGGGAGCGTCAAGGACCTCTGACAAGGAGACAAGGGTCGCTGACAACCTGAGGCTCGTCGCCTCATCTCTCCCCTGGCCTCCCCTGCCACCCCGTCATACCCCCAGCTCATGGGCCGCACGCCCATGGTGTATCTGAGCAAACTGGCGGAGGGGTGTGTGGAGAGGGGAGCATAGTGTGCAATCTGAGGCTCATCGCTTCATCTCCCTCCTGCCACCCCCTCACACACCCTGAAAACCCCCCCCAGCTTATCGGTCGCACGCCCATGGTGTATCTGAGCAAACTGTCAGAGGGGTGTGTGGGGAGCATCGTGTGCAAGCTGGAAGGCATGGAGCCGTGTGGGAGCATCAAGGACCGCGTGGGGTACAGCATGATAGCAGACGCGGAGGAGAAAGGGCTGATCAAACCAGGCAAGGTGTGTTTCTGCATGCGTTGTGTGCTGCTGTGTGGGTGTGTGGGACGTGTGCGCGTATGCATATAAGACTGTGCCGTTGTGTGGGGAGGATAGCGTATAAGCTGGAGCCGTGTGGGAGCATTAAGGACCGCGTGGGTACATCATGACTGCACACGCGGAGGAGGTGATTCTTTGAGGGGGGTCACATCACATTTGAAGCTCGCTTCCGACAGGAAGTGGCTGACCGACATTGCCTCGTTTCACTGTGCCTATGACCCCTACGATTTTTGAGTCGACTCAAAAATCGAGGAAGTGGCTGACCGACATTGCCTCGTTTCACTGTGTCTATGACCCCTACGACGTCGGGCAACACAGGCATCGGCTTGGCTTGAGGTGTCTCACTGTTATCCTGTGTCTCTCTGGTCCCTTCACCCATCCACTCAGAGCATGCTGGTGGAGCCGACGTCGGGCAACACGGGCTTCAGAGGTACTGCTTTTCCATGTTATCTTATATACCTCTGTTCCCCCCTGCTCTCCCTTCCCTCAGAGCGTGCTGGTGGAGCCGACGTCGGGCAACACGGGCTTCAGAGGTACTGCTTTTCCATGTTATCTTATATACCTCTGTTCCCCCCTGCTCTCCCTTCCCTCAGAGCGCGCTGGTGGAGCCGACGTCGGGCAACACGGGCTTCAGAGGTACTGCTTTTCCATGTTATCTTATATACCTCTGTTCCCCCCTGCTCTCCCTTCCCTCAGAGCGTGCTGGTGGAGCCGACGTCGGGCAACACGGGCTTCAGAGGTACTGCTTTTCCATGTTATCTTATATACCTCTGTTCCCCCCTGCTCTCCCTTCCCTCAGAGCGTGCTGGTGGAGCCGACGTCGGGCAACACGGGCATCGGCTTGGCGTTCATAGCAGCGGCGAGGGGCTACAAGCTCGTCCTCACCATGCCCGCCTCCATGAGCCTCGAACGCCGCGTGCTGCTCAAGGCCTTCGGGGCCGAGGTTGTCCTTACCAACCCGGATGAGGTGAGGGAGTGAGTGAGTGAGTGAATGAGTGAGTGAGTGAGTGAGTGAGCGAGTGAGTGAGTGAGTGAGTGAGTGAGTCTGATTCAAATTTGAACCTTATTGGGTGAATTTGACTCGTCTGGTCCCTGACGAGGTGAGGTGAGTGAGTGAGTGAGAGAGTGAGACAGCATTGTTATTTAGAAGGAAATGCTGTCATGAGCAACAAAATGTCAGCGCTGGGATTCGAACTCGTGACCTTCAATCTGTGCTGAAAGTGTCCCTATACAGATTCATGACAGTTTCTGGTAAGGCGCTAGTACTGGTGCATGCGAGTTTCGAACTGGAGATCTTTTGATTCAAGTGTCCCAAATGAGTCCTTTCATGATAGTTTGAAGACAGTTTGGGGACAGTTTTGGGATATAGTTTGGCGAAATCGGTCTCGGGTCGCGTTCGATTTGAAACTCGGCAGTGAAGTGCGAAGTCAACGGGATTCGCACGGGAGTTACAGACGGTGGTCGACAGAACTGTGGTCGCAGAAATTCTCGTGTACAGAATTCCAGTCAATGGAATTCGCTCGGCGAAATTCAAGGCTCGGAATTTCGCGTCGACGAAATTCAGCGCGCGACCCGGGCGGAACCAGAGAGCACAAACCAGTTTCAACTAAGTCACTACCACTTCTACGCTTGTGTGTATCTTTGGCTATAGACGACCATTTTTTGCAATCTTTGGTGCGTTGGAATCGTGCTTCCGAGCTCTATCAAGCTGCTTAAATAGTGGAATTCTATAGTTTTGAACGTTCACCTGTGATTGACACACATTGAACCGAGTTTGTATGTTTGTCGTTTACTCGGAGTTTCTAGGGTTATTTTTTTCTACTAATGACTATCGTCTTTTTCTAAAGCGACCTGTAGTACTGCTGCTCTTCCGCATGACTGGTGACAGGCGAGGTGAGTGAGACAGGTGGTAGGTGAGGTGAGTGAGACTGCCTTGTTTTAATTGTTCACTTGTGATTGACACTTATTGTCCCCGGCCAAGAAATTCAGCTCGGCTTGCTGATTTCAAATCGCCTTTACCAACTGACTTTAATCGCTTGGATCCAACTGTTTTTACTCACGCCATGGACTCCTGAGTCGACTCATTTGGTCATGCTGTTGCTTGCCATTTCACCCTGCTTGATGTGACTTGACTTGACAGCAGGGCATGCGGGGAGCTATCATTCGCGCCAAGGGGATCGTGAGCCACTCGAAGCACTCCTTCATGCCTCAGCCTCTTGAGTCGACTCATATAGTCATGCTGTTGCTTGCCATTACACCCTGCTTGATGTGACTTGACTTGACGGCAGGGCATGAGAGGAGCTATCATTCGTGCCAAGGAGATCGTGAGCCACTCCAAGCACGCCTTCATGCCTCAGCAGTTTGAGAACGAGGCCAATACCAAGGTGTGTGTAGGATGTTGGGTGAATGACAAGGTGAAATGATGAAGGAAAAAAAAAAAAAAAAAAAAAAAAAGGAGAGAAGTATTAAAAAAAAAAAAAAAAACGCTTAAAATTTTTGTTGATCTCTATTGTTTCTGGATGTGATAACCTGTTTTTTCCTCCCATGTGCCTGCAGCAGCTCCTGTACACCAATCCCGCCCGTTGAACCTCTCCCGCCTCATTTCCCTGTGGCAAATTCACTTTGAGACGATGGCGAGGGAGATTTTGGGAGGACACGGAGGGGAGTGATTTCGGAGTTGACTGGAAGGCCACCTCCCCCCATTGCGCCACTCCTCTCATTCATTCACACCACACTTGCCTGTTATACCCCTCCCCTCATTCCCCCGAGGCAGATTCACTTTGAGACGACCGGGAGGGAGATTTGGGAGGACACAGAAGGGCGAGTTGATGCGGTGGTGTGCGGTATCGGCACTGGCGGCACGGCCATGGGTGTGGGGCAGTATCTCAAGAGCAAAAAGCCGAGTGTGAAGGTGAGATGGGGTGTAATAGTGCTGGAGGGTGTGAGCAGGTGTGTGGTGCGGTGGTGTGCGGTATCACTGGCGGCACGGCCATGGGTGTGGGGCAGTATCTCAAGAGCAAGAAGCCGAGTGTGAAGGTGAGATGGGGTGTAATAGTGCTGGCCGCACAAACGGGGTGTGGAGGGTGTGGAGGGTGTGGAGAGGTGGGGTGTCTGGCAGGGTGTTGTGCGGTGGTGTGTGGTATTGGCACCGGAGGCACGGCCATGGGCGTGGGGCAGTATCTCAAGAGCAAGAAGCCGAGTGTCAAGGTGAGGCTGGGGGTGTTGTGCTAGCAGAACAAGGGGGGGGGGGAATTGTATGGTGCGCGGTAATGGCAATGGCTGGCTCAGTTACTTTTGAAACGTCTCAAAAAGCAATGGCACTGGCTCGCGCAGTTCCTTGAAAGCAAGAGTAACTGCCATGCGTGAAGGTGACACATGGAAGGCAGTGGTATATCCTTAGGGTACAAGGCAGTGAATTGTATTCATACTCTTAGACCCGCCTTACAAAGGCACCACCACTCAGTCTCACCACCGAAAAAAGGCACAGCGATACAATCACACCACATACAGTCACAGCACGTGCACCAGAGCTAGCAGCAGTGTGATTGTCCTCCCATCATCTCTGTTTCGAATGCGTGGCAAATGTTTGCAGTGACTTTTGAGGCGCCTCTAAAGCAGTGTGATTGTCATCCCATCATCCCCAGGTCACATGTCTTGCAGATGATTGCTGTGGAGCCTGAAGTAACTTCTGAGTCAACTCAAAAGTTGAAAACTTCTGAGGCTCCTCTGAAGTGTGATTGCCATCCCATGACTGTCATCCCATGACCGTCATCCCATGACTGTCATCCCATGACTGTCATCCCATGACTGTCATCCCATGACTGTCATCCCATGACTGTCATCCCATGACCGTCATCCCATGACTGTCATCCCATGACTGTCATCCCATGACCGTCATCCCATGACTGTCATCCCATGACTGTCATCCCATGACCGTCATCCCATGACTGTCATCCCATGACTGTCATCCCATGACCGTCATCCCATGACTGTCATCCCATGACTGTCATCCCATCATCCCCGTTTCGCATGTCTGGCAGATGATTGGAGTGGAGCCTGAGGAGTCAAACATCCTGTCAGGTGGATACCCAGGTGAGAACACTGTCATGTGGATACCCAGGTGAGATCAACAGAGGGGTGGAGTGAGTGGATGGGTGGAGGTCCAATTGTATTCAACCGTCATCAGAACTTTGGTGGGTATGGTTTGTAGTCCCGTGTATTCACATAATGTCATTTGGTGCTAAAATTACCGCCAATAACCTGGATACTCAGTGTTCAATGATGCTGGTGTGAGAGGCACAGACAACCTACAGCTCATTTCAGAGTACTGCTAGTGGCTATACTTCCATACATCCTATGTTTCAGTCTGCAATTCTGGGATCTTGTCACGTCAGCACTCAGCAGCAGCCTTGCTGATGGGTTACATATCCTAGATTGTCAAGGACCTTGTGTCGGGTAGCCTGTCACGAAAGATGAACGCAGACTTAGCAACTCAACTAAGGCTTATGCCTTCCAGCTTCTCCTCTAGTCCACATTCCACGTCACACCACACACGATCCTTAGCCATAATCAGCACCAGCCCCAGCCGCCGCTGCTCAACCAGCGGATTCGGATCCGCTGACGTGGCACGCGCCATTCTCTCTTCCAGCGACTCGTTCCTGCGGGAATCTGCGGGATCAGCGGCGGCAGACGCGCGACGAAACTCGACAGTGTCGTGAAGGATAACATTCCCTTCCTTGTCCAGGCAATTGAACCGGCCTACAAACACTCGGCCGTCCGTTATGCCGATCCGGAGCCGTCTCTGAAGAAGGCGACGCGCTCCTGCTATAGCGGGTCTCTTGACGGATTCGTTACAGTCCGATTCCGGTATTGTCACGGATGACGAGCTGGGAAGCGCAGGATCCGGGTCCGGTCTATCCGCACGGTGCGTCGTGTGAACCACCATAACTCAGCAGCAGCAAACAGCAACACGAGATATGGAACTGATTTGTTTCTGGTGTGATCTGGTATGAACGTCACAAAACTGCTCGTACCACCACAAGACGGACCCCTGAGGTGGAGAGGCAGCGTACGAAAATAAAAGAGCTCAAGAATTTAGCAGGCTCAGAGGTAGAACGAAATCTGCCTAGTACGCCAATTATAGGTGCGCATACTGCCCCGACTGCCCAACGCATCACTTTGATTGGTCCACTGCATTGGATGCCCCTTTTTTTTTGCTAGTCCTCTAGATTAGACTATTTTCCACACCCACAACAAAATCATAGAAATACCTTTGTATGAAAAAGCGCGAACATGGGTATTTATATGACTTTGATTCGCATGTGTTATGCGAAGTGCGAGCGTAAACTTTGCGAACACGCCCTTCAGTAAATCCAATGAACCACTTTTTTTTTTAGTGGCGTCGTCTAAATTCTTGAAAGTACCTCGAGTGCACCACACCATGCAGGGCCGCATATGATCCAGGGCATCACAGTGTGAGTGATGCGAGAATCATCACAGTGTGAGTTCTTAGGTGAGGTCATCAAACCATTCACATCGATGCTTCACTCACCACACTGCACGATGCCCCACCACATCACACCGCACTCCACCATGCAGGGCCACACATGATCCAGGGCATTGGGGCGGGGCTGAGGTCATCAACCCATTCCCCCCCATGCTTCATCCACCGTGCCCCACCGCACTACACCATGCCTCACTGCACCACACCATTCTGCACCGCACTACACTGTGCAGGGCCACACATGATCCAGGGCATCGGACCGGGCTTCATTCCGAGCATTCTGGACGAGAACATGCTCGATGAGGTCATCGCGGTGAGTGACTGCTAATGTCACCGCACCGCACCGCTTTACACTACACCGCACGGACTACACTGCACCGCACCACTACCATTCTGGACGAGAGCATGCTCGATGAGGTCATTGCGGTGAGTGCTGCGGTCACCGCACCACACCGCACTACGCCACACCGCACCACCACCATTCTGGACGAGGGCATGCTCGACGAGGTCATTTCAGTGAGTTTCTAGTGCTTAGGCCATCCCGTGAGTGCTGATGTCATCCCGGTGGATGCTGATGTCATCACGGTGAGCGCTGACATCATCACGGTGCTTGTTGAGGTCATCACAGTCAGTGCTGTGGTCAAACGGTGAGCAGAGTGTGTCATCTTTGTTGTTGACGTCATCAAAGGCAACACCATGGCTTCCCTTCCCATGCCCTCCCTCCCTCCATCTCTTCCCCGTGTTTGAGTCGAGTCAAAAATCGATGTCATCAAAAGGTACACGCATTGATCGCCCTGCTTATAATGGCGCTATGCCGTCCCTCCCTCAACCACCGCCCCTGCCAGGTCAGCAGCAATGACGCCATCCAGATGGCGCGCCAGCTGGCACTCCAGGAGGGCATGCTGGTGGGTTTCTTCACTCACACCCGTTCTGCCGCCGCTGCTTGTTGCATGATTGCATCTTCAATGTGTGCATCTGGACATGCTCTGTTATTCAAAACCAACGACTCACAATAGCATGTTCATTCGCAGTCAGTATACCGAAGACGAAAGTGTCTTGCCCTGTGCCTCCTCTGTCTCACAGCGTTTCTACTGTCGAAAGATTTCCCAGTTTGCATGTTTTATTGGTTGCAATTGAATGGAATATCTCAGGTGGGCATATCCTCTGGCGCGGCGGTGTTTGCTGCGATCGATGTTGCGAAGCGGCCTGAATATGCTGGAAAAATGGTGGTGGTATGTCTTTTCCCAACCTGACACTTTTATCTTACCCCCTCACCTTCCCCATCAAGTCCACCCTTTTCACCCCTATTAACCTTCCACCCCACCCCTCCCCTTACCTTGCTCACATTCCGTTAGACGATTCTTAGTACTTGACACTGACCATCATATTCAACTGAAATTCTGAGTAAAATAAGTTTAGTGGTGCCTTTTTTCGTAATGTGTTGCAGGCCATTCTGCCAAGTTTTGGCGAGAGGTATTTATCGACTGCATTGTTTGCAAATATATGGGAGGAGGTTGTTAAAGAGCCAACATTTTAGTTGACAAACATGCCTTTTGTCGGTCAATGAACAACCAACGTTAGATTGCCAGAAGATAAAAGGGAGGAGCTGTTTTTTTTTTTTCAAATATGTTTATTATATTACTGTTTCAATTCGACCTCGTTACTAAAGAGTGAGTAAAAACTGAGTTTAGAAAGTGAACAAGGAGGGCATGGCTGCGGAACATCCAATGTGTGTTGCAGTGCTTCCAGTGTTGTCTCGTGCTGTACGAGTGCAGCGACTCGCAAACAGGCCTCGAAGTCGCGAGGGAAGGAAATTCGCGAACAGACAGGAGAAAGTGGGATGAGCCCCACGCTCGCTCTGACACAGGGTAACCAGTCGGGTTCGTGCTGCGTCAGCATGGCCAGCCCTGATCGGATGACCTGGTGGACTCCACGAGGTGCGTCAGCCACGCCCGGGCTGTGTCAGCTTTCAGCCCATGCTGACACAGCCCGGCCCGTGGTGTACTGTAATGAGACTCCTCTCATCACACCCCGGGGACTCCTCTCACATTCAACCACTACCTGCTCTGCTCCTCTTCCGTCTTCGGCTGCTTGGTGCTCCTTTCCTTTGACTTACCAGCTTCTGCTACAAGCACGAAGTCATGTTTGATCTGCTAATCTTTTTTTTTCCGTCGCTGGATATTCGAGCTACTTTGCGAACGTTCCCGCGAATGGGATTGCTTCTGGTGTCATCGCACCTGCCCTTAGGCGTTTGTGTCCCGGGTTTCGGCGGAGCCGGATAAAAAAAAAAAAAAAACAAAGTTAGGCGTCTGTGATCCGCATGACGTACTACAGAAGCAAGGATTCGATGGAGAGACGCGGAGATGGTGTCTGCCAGATAGAGTCACACGTGAAAAGACTGAGGGATGTAGCTAATTTTGTTACACCAGTAAAAAGCAGCAGGCAGCGTTTCCCACGAAGTACTACTTCAAATTTACAGCAGTCCAGCGCGAGCGGTACACATTATTCGCTTTCGCCTAAGGCTTGCCTTTGCCTGACCTTTTTTTTTCTCGATGGCAACTCTTCCCTCTCCTTACGTCGCGCCTCAAGGTCCGTCGCAACCCTACGCGGTCGTGGGGCCGCAGTACTGCTTACCGTACGAGACTATGCTCGTACTGAAGGATAAGATGTTCTCGCTTAGGGAAAGGAAGGAGGTTCGTGATACGAAGGGAAATCTGCACTTCAGTGTCGCAAACAGGCGAGAATTCCAATCCTATTTCTTGTTGCTCTCAACGTTCTTGTATCGCGTTTTTTATAAACGGAATTCCGTTACCGGCGCTCGTACCTCGTTTTCCGTCACTTGTGCCTCCCGTCAAATGTGAGCCACTTGTACCTCGTGTTCCCGTCACCTTGCGGCTCTTGCAGCTCTTACGAGGCTCGTATTCCCGTCGCCTGTGAGGCGCATGCACCTCTTTCCTGCCGTGCTACATGCGGGTCACCCTTGGATCATTGCATTATGGAGACACTTCACCTTTGAGGCGCTTGTACCTCGTACTACGATCACCTGGCAATAGTTTTGCCGTCACCTGGCGCTAGTCAATTTTTTTCCTCTCCTTTCCCGTTTACCCTAAATCCCATCATTTTCCCATTCCTTTACAAACCCCAATTCTCCCCCACCCAGGCTGCTAACCGTTCCCGCCAAGACCGAGATTCTGGACGCTGCAGGAGCACCCGTGTGCATGCTAGTAGGCAAAATGTTCACTCTACACAACACCACCTACCTGTGCCCGGGAAACAGCACAGACACCAACGCTCACTTGCTTATAGTCAAGAAAGTCATTTTCACCATTTGCCCTGTTCTCGAGGTGCGCTCGCGGCTGCCGAATTTCCCGGTTTTCAATTAGTTTTTCTTGTTTTGCTTGCTCGCTAGTGTGTGTGTGTGTGTGTGTGTGTGTGTGTGTGTGTGTGTGTGTGTGTGTGTGTGTGTGTGTGTGTGTGTGTGTGTGTGTGCCTTTTTTTTTTTTTTAACCCTTGTTGTCTCACCAAAGATCCGTCCAACCCTCCTCCCTTGCTTGACATTCTTCATTCTTCCTCGCTCCCTTGCATTTTTTTTTTTTTCAGCCTCACCTGGGTTTTGTGGTCCTCTGTTTCACTCTCTTTCACTATCTTGCAGGTGTATTTACGGGGAAATAGTTCGGACAAGCCAGACATTACCCTTACTGGCTCTTTTTTTGAACATGATTTCAAGGTGAGAAGTTTTTCCAACCCAACCCCTTTTTCCCATCCTCCCCACACACACCCCCCCCCCCCCCCCACCCCCCTCCTTCCCCACCCCACCTCCTCCTCCCCTCCAATCCCCCACCCTCTCCCCCCCCTCTCTTTCCCAACCTCCCCCCCCCCCCCCCCCCCCCACCCACCTCCTTTTCTTCTGTTCCCATTTGTTGCAGAATTAAATTGTTTCATGCTTTCTTCAAAGGCCACTTCATCTGTTCCGTTTCTACTTTCAACCAAAACTCACCACCCTACTATCCCAATGTCAGATCACCGCCAGCAATGGCATCCTATTGGCCGAGGTAGGCCGCGACTTTTTCTCTGCAGGGACTTTCTTCTTGACACCCACACGTACTGTGTGCGAATCTTGCCAAACGTGGACATGGCGTTGATCATGGCTCTGGTTACTCTGGTCGACTCTATCTTTGTTGATCAAAACGGGTCTGGTGGTGGTGGTGGTATTCGCATTGGCGTCAGTCTTGATTAGTCACGTTATTCCTCATGATACTTGTCCCTCTGAGCGTATATGAATTTGGAATGTTAGGCTGATGTGGGTAGGCAGGGAGAGGAGAGGGGCAGGGTGGGGGGGATGGTGAGGGAGGGAGGGTGATTTAGTGTGGGGCGGGGTGGATTTTGGGGATTGGGGTAAGGGGGGGTGGGGTAGTTTAAAACTTCTAGGTGCACTTCTTGGAATTTGGTTGAGTAGAAAAAAAAAAAAGAGAATTACCCATCTATCATCTCCAGTCTCCCCTACTTTGAATCCCTTCAGCAACCTTTTGGCCAGTTTGAGACTAGCCCAAACTTAGATGCATAAGCGGGTTTATAATTTGTGTTTGTTGGTTTGCTTGTTTGTTTGTTGTTTGTGATTTTTATATTTCTCTTCTTTCACAAAACTACCGAATACTGACAAAACCTGCCCTCCACGAGAGATTGCCGTGAATATCGATGTCCACTCAACCCAATGCTGGTTTTTGCCTATATCCTACCCAACCGTTCTCAAATCTTATTCGAACGTTCTAGAACGAAAAGCACCTCACGGCGCCGCATTCAAACGCATCTGTCTGCACACGTCCGTTCATCAGTTATCCCCCACTAGCAGACCTTCCGCAAATCTTCACTTCCGCTTCCGCCGATGGAAGCGCTCTGCCATCAGCCCTGCGCCGCGCTTGCTTCCCGATGGCTGCGCCCAGACGCGCGTCCGCTGCTGCGCAGACCGGCGGGCGCGTGCGGGGCAGATCGGCATGTGCGCAATCCGCCACCGGTCCGGGGAGTGCGGGCGGATTCCCGTCGCGCGGAGAGTGAGGCGCACGGAAAGTGCGCGGACTTGACGGAGCAAGGGGGACTCGGCGTGACGAGGTGGGGGCCCTGGCGGGGAAGCGGGGGCTGCGCCCGAAGCTTGTGGCGGGCTGGCGAGAGATGGCGCGGAATTTGGGGCCAACACGCGCATGTTTTCCAAGCGCTTACAACCCGCAACATCCCAATTCCCCATTCCGCGCCCCAATTCCCCATTCCGCGCCCCAATTCCCCATTCCGCGCCCCAATTCCCCATTCCGCACCCCAATTCCCCATTCCGCGCCCCAATTCCCCATTCCGCACCCCAATTCCCCATTCCGCACCCCAATTCCCCATTCCGCGCCCCAATTCCCCATTCCGCACCCCAATTCCCCATTCCGCACCCCAATTCCCCATTCCGCACCCCAATTCCCCATTCCGCGCCCCAATTCCCCATTCCGCACCCCAATTCCCCATTCCGCACCCCAATTCCCCATTCCGCACCCCAATTCCCCATTCCGCACCCCAATTCCCCATTCCGCGCCCCAATTCCCCATTCCTCGCCTCCATTCCCCATTCCCCGCCTCCATTTCCCTCCCCCATTCCCCTCATCCGTTCCAATCCCCCCTTCCCCTCCCCCATTCCCCTCCCCCATTCCCTTCCACCATCCGCAGACGAGCGCTCCTCTCGTCCGCCGTCCCCCTCTCCGTCGCCCTACTCGCGCCCCCTGCTCCTGCAGGTGAGACCATTCCCCCCTCCCCTTTCCCCCGCAGGTGAGCACGTTCCCCCCCTCCCCTTTCCCCGGCAGGGGATACCTTCCCCCCTCCCCCTGCTCCCCCAGGTGACACGCGCCTCTCTGCTCCCGCAGCTGAGTAGACTAAGATGCCCTTTCCCCTCCCCCCTACGCTCCTCTCATCCGCCCTCTTTCCCCTCCCCCCTACGTTACAATCCCCCCTCCAGTTTTTCGGGCTGTTACAATGGCTGCCACGTCCTTCCAATATCCCCTCGTCTCCTTCTCATCTCTCCCCCCACACCACACTATCACCCCACCTCTCTCCCCACCACCACCACCCCCACACCCCCCCCCCCCCCCTCCGGGGCCCCCTACTTCCCCTCTCCTCCCTCCTCTCCCGCCCCCCACGTGGCCCCTGGATTCCCACCTCATATTGCCGCATCTCTTCTTCCCCCCTTCCCCCTTCCCCCTTCCCCCTTCCCCCTTCCCCCTTCCCCCTTCCCCCTTCCCCCTCCATTTCCCCTGTTGCGCCAGTCCCTGCCTTGGGCGATCCTTCAGTCACCATTGCTGACGTCACCCGTGACGTCACGCCCGCTGGAAAGCTTCCTGCTGCTGAGGTGAGGAGAGGGAGTGCAAGAAGGAGTGTGAGGGAAGGGGTGTGTGTGTGAGTGTATCCAATGTGATACAATCACTCACAAGGAAACCCACAGGGACCTCGCTCGCTCTGACCAGCTGTCCCTCCCTTTCAAGCCTAGTTTCCCCCGTGCTCGTTCGCTACCTCCCCTCCCTCCTACTCCATTCCTTTTGCACAGGAACCAACGGTGGCTCTGTTCGAGCGCACCACACCACCCACTCGATCGACAACATATTCGGCGCCACTCTCTCTCCCCCTCTCTCTCCCCCTCTCTCTCCCCCTCTCTCTCCCCCTCTGTCTCCCCCTCTGTCTCCCCCTACAGCCACCACAAGAGGCAACCGTGGGGCCTACTCAGTGGTCAACATATTCGATGTGACTCTAAGGCCTAGCATGAACACCACGGGGCAGGTGGAGGTGCCGGAGGGGAACGGGTCGGTGGAAGGGTGACCAAATCAAGTGACTGACCTCCCTTCTCTTCCCCCCCATCCCTTCCTACTGCTACCACAGGAAGCAACAGTGGCTCTGTTCGAACGCACTACTTATTCTGTGGTCAACATATTCGATGTGACTCTAAGGCCTAGCATGAACACCACGGGGCAGGTGGAGGTGCCGGAGGGGAACGGGTCGGGCGTGGTGTGGAACAGCGACGGGTATATTGTTACAAATTACCACGTGGTTGGGAGTGCACTCTCGCAAAACCCCCCTGCTGGACGGACTATTGCAAGAGTCACCCTGCTGGGGACAGACGGGTGAGTTGAGTGCAGTGATTGAGTGAGGTGCTGTAGACTGAAGTGGTTACATTGTTACAATAACCCCCCTGGTGAAAGCGTGTGACTCAGCTCAGGTTACACTGGTTGGTACAGACGGGTAGGTGCAGTGCAAGGGTGAGTATGGTGTGGTTTGGAGGAGTGCAGAGTGGTGGAGTGTGGTGTGGAACCACGGCGATTACATTTTCACAAACTATTTCGTGGGTGGTTGGGTTGGGTGTGCAATTTCGCAAATCCCCCCTGCTGAAGGAGCATGGCTCGAGTTACCCTGCTGAGTACAGGTGGGTAGGTTTGCTGCGGTTTAATGTGATGATGAGGTATTTGAGTTATTAACTGCAGCAGCCAACCTCGTAAATTCCATCTTCTTCTCACCTCCCTCTCCGCCTCTCGCCATCTCTCCTCCTCACGCCATCTCTCCTCCTCACGTTCTCGCCTTCCTTATTTCCTCTTCCCACCCTCTGACCCAATCTCGTCCCTTTTGAGAATTCTCAAAAGTTTCCTCTTCCCACCCTCTCACCCTATCTTGTCCCTTTGCATACGCTCTCCTCCTTTTTCCTTCGCCTCGCATGATTTCTCACTTTCCTGACTCCCCTCCTTCACTCCTCCTCTCACCCCTCTCTCCTCCTCTCACCCCTCTCTCCTCCTCTCACCCCTCTCTCCTCCTCCCACTCCTCATCCCGCGCCTTCCACTTGCTTTCAGCGTATGAGAATCAGAACTGGTCAGAGCAAATCAGATTCTGTCTGATAGCACTTCAATACATAACGTCTTATTCCCTCCTTCGAGCCTTTCCCTCTTTCATCCCACCAGATTTCAGCCCAATCCAGATGAATTCCTACTGGGAGCGTATACAACCATCGTCATTTCTCATGTCCCTTGTTCCCTTCCCTTCATCCTCGTCACTCTCGTACCTCATCCCTCTCTCCTCTCTCCTCTCTCCTCTCGCCACTCTGACCTAGGCACTTCAAAACCACTCCTCTTCGTCCCCTCCATCCCTCTTTGTTACCCAGCTTTCAGCGCAACCTAGAGGGAGTGCTGGTAGGGGCGGATCGGACCAAGGACCTTGCTGTACTCAAGGTAATACAATCATCTCAAGTGTCGTGTCAGATCCTTAGTGAGTAAAAGGTGTCAGATCCTTAGTGAGTAAAAGGTGTCAGATCCTTAGTGAGTAGCTGATCAAGGTAAAAAGTGTTTGACTTTTGAGTCGACTCAAAAGTCAGCTCTTGCTGTACTCAAGGTGATACAATCATCTCAAGTGTCATGTCAGATCCTTAGTGAGTAGCTGATCAAGGTAAAAAGTGTTTGTTCCAGAGCCATTCTGACACTTCAGAATCTACACTTCTGACACTTCAGAATCTACACTTCTGACACTTCAGAATCTACACTTCTGACACTTCAGAATCTACACTTCTGACACTTAGAGAGGCTGAGTACACCCATAACTCCTCAAGCCATCCTTGTCGTGCCAAGACTTTAAGGTGATCTTCTCACTCCCCACCCATGTGCTCTTTAGCTGTTCGTTTTCATTGTGGTGAACCTAGGATCACATGCTCCTTTCATGGTACACACTGGTATTCAAACCCACACCCGCTGATACCACACACTGGTTTCATGGCTCTGATACCATGCCAGAAAGTTCAGCCGCTGAGCGCTGAGCTAAACAAATATTTGACATAGCGGGTGAGCGTCCCCTTTACAGACCATTCTTTGCACAGAACCCTTTTCTGAATCGGAGGTGACTTTTGAGTCGACTCAAAACCCGCGTGTAATGAGTTGAGTTTTGACTCGACTCAAAAGTCACCCCTTTACAGACCATTCTTTGCCCAGAACCCTTTTCTGAATCCTTAAGCCGAGCCCAGTGCTGCCTCCTTCAACAATATACGTGTCTTTCAGTACCTCTTCAAACCAATAATTGTACCTAGGGCTCTTGACCGCTCTCCTTTCTTCCGCTTGCAATGCAATTCCCCCTTGGATCACCTGCAAGACTCTTGGTTCAAGTTCTATGGAACTCACTTTTGAGAATTCTCAAAAGTGATTTCCATCTTCCGCTCGCAATTCCCCCTTGGATCACCTGAAAGACTCTTGGTTCAAGTTCTTCTCCAATCCTATCCTTTTGCATCGTAAACCAACGTGCAGTGAGTTGAATTTTCAGGCGCCTCGAAATTCGACTCTTGGTTCAATCAAGTTCTGCTCCTATCCTTTCTAAAACCAACCACTGCGTTTCCCTTCCCATTTCTACTAACCCACCAGGTCTCTGCCCCTCCCAACCTCCTCCGCGTTCTTCCTCTCGGTGACTCCTCCTCCCTGCGCGTGGGGTAGCGATTGGCAACCCCTTTGCCTTCGACCACACGATAGGCCACCCCTCCTCTCCCTGCCCATCCCTCGCACTCCCCTAGGGCTCCTCCTCCTCCTCCTCCTCCTCCTCCTCCTCCTCCTCCTCCTCCTCCTCCTCCTCCTCCTCCTCCTCCTCCTCCTCCTCCTCCTCCTCCTCCTCCTCCTCCTCCTCCTCCTCCTCCCTGCTCGTGGGGCAACGCTCGTATGCCATCGGCAATCCCTTTGAGTTCGACCACATGCTCTGCCTCCCCTCTTCTCCCTGCCCATCCCGTCCCTGTCACCCCTCCCTTCCTCCTCTCGACAGGTCTCTGCCCCTCCCAACCTCCTCCGCCTGCTCCCTCTCGGTGACTCCTCCTCCCTGCGAGTGGGGCAACGCTCGTACGCCATCGGCAACCCCTTTGGTTTCGATCATACACTCACGGCAGGGGTTTTGAGTGGGGTGAATCGCGACATCTACAGCGCAGCAGGCGTGGTGATCGCAGGGGGCGTGCAGACAGACGCTGCCATCAACCCCGGCAACAGGCGAGTGCGCTGGGCTAGTGTTAGTGTGTGCATGTTGAGTGTATGTGTGTGTAGGTGTGCGTGTGCTGCCATTCTGACATTGCCGCAAAGAGACGCTGCCATCAACCCCTACAGCAGGCGATTGCGCTTCTTGGTAGTGTGTGTGTGTGTGGGATCGTGCATATGAAAATCACTTTTGAGAATTCTCAAAAGAAATCACTTTTGAGAATTCTCAAATGTGTGGGGGAGCGTGCATATGAATGTGCGTGTGTGAGTGTGCATGTGTGAGTGTGCGTGTGTGAGTGTGCATGTGTGAGTGTGCGTGTGTGAGTGTGCGTGTGTGAGTGTGCGTGTGTGAGTGTGCGTGTGTGAGTGTGCATGTGTGAGTGTGCGTGTGTGAGTGTGCGTGTGTGAGTGTGCGTGTGTGAGTGTGCGTGTGTGAGTGTGCGTGTGTGAGTGTGCGTGTGTGAGTGTGCGTGTGTGAGTGTGCGTGTGTGAGTGTGCGTGTGTGAGTGTGCGTGTGTGAGTGTGCGTGTGTGAGTGTGCGTGTGCTGCCGTCTTGACAGCGCCTCAAAGAGACGCCTGCCATTAGCCTCGTTCTGGCAACAGGCGAGTGCGCTTTGTGTGTGAGTGCTTGTACGAGTGTGACTGTATGAGTGTGTTTCTATGTTTGATTGTACTTTATGCGTGTCATAGACTGATAAAACTCTTCTCCCCTCCAAACCTTCCTTTCCTCCCCTCCCCTCCCACCCTCCCTCTCCCCACCCCTCCCCTACTCTACCATTCTCCCTTCCCTCTCTCCCCTTTACCATGGCGGCCCTCACCTTGACTCCACTGAAAGGCTCATCGGAATCAGCCTTTCAGTGGGGAAGGGGAGAGAGGCCGCCATGGTGAGGGCCGCCATGGTGAGGGCCGGGCCGCCATGGTGAGGGCCGGCCCGCCATGGATGGCGTGGAATCAACACAGCCACCTATACCAACACGCTGGATGGCCATTCCATATCCTAACCTGTCCCCTCCTCCCCTTCCTTTCCCCCTCTCTCCCCTCAACAGTGGCGGCCCGCTGCTTGACTCCTCTGGAAGGCTCATCGGAATCTACACAGCCAGCTATACCAACACGGGCACATCTGCCGGAGTGGAATTTACAATCCCTCTATCCGCTGTCGCACAGGCATAGGGGTGCTTGCTTGAAAGGCCGTCCACAACCTTACCTCTCCACCCCTTTCTCCCCTTTCCCCCTCTCTCCCCTCAACAGTGGCGGCCCGCTGCTTGACTCCGCTGGCAGGCTCATTGGAATCAACACGGCCATCTATACCAACACCGGCACATCTGCTGGTGTGGGCTTCGCCATTCCTGTATCGGTGGTGGCGCGCGTGGTTCCCCAGATCATCCAGTATGGGAAGGTGAGCGGCTTGTGAGTAATGTACCTACTGTGTGGGAGGGGAGGCTCTTCCCTACAGGAATTGCAAAAGGAGGGTGGCACTGTGGGTTTTGCCATTCCTGTATCAGCGGTGGCGCGCATGTTTCCCCAAATCATCCAGTATGGGAAGGTGAGCGGCTTGTGAGTAATGTACATGCTGTGTGGGAAGGGGAGGCTCTACCCTTCCCTTACATACTGTAATGTACATACATGAATTAGAAAAGGAGGGCGGCAGCGTGAGCTTCGTCCCACGCTGAACGTGCAGCTGGCGGCTGACGCCATTACCAGACAGCTGGGAGTGAGGGAGCAGCAAGATTGACCCGAGCAGCTGCCACAGCCGCCGCCCGGGCAGCAAGATTGACCCGAGCAGCTGCCACAGCCGCCGCCCGGGCAGCAAGATTGACCCGAGCAGCTGCCACAGCCGCCGCCCGGGCAGCAAGATTGACCCGAGCAGCTGCCACAGCCGCCGCCCGGGCAGCAAGATTGACCCGAGCAGCTGCCACAGCCGCCGCCCGGGCAGCAAGATTGACCCGAGCAGCTGCCACAGCCGCCGCCCGGGCAGCAAGATTGACCCGAGCAGCTGCCACAGCCGCCGCCCGGGCAGCAAGATTGACCCGAGCAGCTGCCACAGCCGCCGCCCGGGCAGCAAGATTGACCCGAGCAGCTGCCACAGCCGCCGCCCGGGCAGCAAGATTGACCCGAGCAGCTGCCACAGCCGCCGCCCGGGCAGCAAGATTGACCCGAGCAGCTGCCACAGCCGCCGCCCGGGCAGCAAGATTGACCCGAGCAGCTGCCACAGCCGCCGCCCGGGCAGCAAGATTGACCCGAGCAGCTGCCACAGCCGCCGCCCGGGCAGCAAGATTGACCCGAGCAGCTGCCACAGCCGCCGCCCGGGCAGCAAGATTGACCCGAGCAGCTGCCACAGCCGCCGCCCGGGCAGCAAGATTGACCCGAGCAGCTGCCACAGCCGCCGCCCGGGCAGCAAGATTGACCCGAGCAGCTGCCACAGCCGCCGCCCGGGCAGCAAGATTGACCCGAGCAGCTGCCACAGCCGCCGCCCGGGCAGCAAGATTGACCCGAGCAGCTGCCACAGCCGCCGCCCGGGCAGCAAGATTGACCCGAGCAGCTGCCACAGCCGCCGCCCGGGCAGCAAGATTGACCCGAGCAGCTGCCACAGCCGCCGCCCGGGCAGCAAGATTGACCCGAGCAGCTGCCACAGCCGCCGCCCGGGCAGCAAGATTGACCCGAGCAGCTGCCACAGCCGCCGCCCGGGCAGCAAGATTGACCCGAGCAGCTGCCACAGCCGCCGCCCGGGCAGCAAGATTGACCCGAGCAGCTGCCACAGCCGCCGCCCGGGCAGCAAGATTGACCCGAGCAGCTGCCACAGCCGCCGCCCGGGCAGCAAGATTGACCCGAGCAGCTGCCACAGCCGCCGCCCGGGCAGCAAGATTGACCCGAGCAGCTGCCACAGCCGCCGCCCGGGCAGCAAGATTGACCCGAGCAGCTGCCACAGCCGCCGCCCGGGCAGCAAGATTGACCCGAGCAGCTGCCACAGCCGCCGCCCGGGCAGCAAGATTGACCCGAGCAGCTGCCACAGCCGCCGCCCGGGCAGCAAGATTGACCCGAGCAGCTGCCACAGCCGCCGCCCGGGCAGCAAGATTGACCCGAGCAGCTGCCACAGCCGCCGCCCGGGCAGCAAGATTGACCCGAGCAGCTGCCACAGCCGCCGCCCGGGCAGCAAGATTGACCCGAGCAGCTGCCACAGCCGCCGCCCGGGCAGCAAGATTGACCCGAGCAGCTGCCACAGCCGCCGCCCGGGCAGCAAGATTGACCCGAGCAGCTGCCACAGCCGCCGCCCGGGCAGCAAGATTGACCCGAGCAGCTGCCACAGCCGCCGCCCGGGCAGCAAGATTGACCCGAGCAGCTGCCACAGCCGCCGCCCGGGCAGCAAGATTGACCCGAGCAGCTGCCACAGCCGCCGCCCGGGCAGCAAGATTGACCCGAGCAGCTGCCACAGCCGCCGCCCGGGCAGCAAGATTGACCCGAGCAGCTGCCACAGCCGCCGCCCGGGCAGCAAGATTGACCCGAGCAGCTGCCACAGCCGCCGCCCGGGCAGCAAGATTGACCCGAGCAGCTGCCACAGCCGCCGCCCGGGCAGCAAGATTGACCCGAGCAGCTGCCACAGCCGCCGCCCGGGCAGCAAGATTGACCCGAGCAGCTGCCACAGCCGCCGCCCGGGCAGCAAGATTGACCCGAGCAGCTGCCACAGCCGCCGCCCGGGCAGCAAGATTGACCCGAGCAGCTGCCACAGCCGCCGCCCGGGCAGCAAGATTGACCCGAGCAGCTGCCACAGCCGCCGCCCGGGCAGCAAGATTGACCCGAGCAGCTGCCACAGCCGCCGCCCGGGCAGCAAGATTGACCCGAGCAGCTGCCACAGCCGCCGCCCGGGCAGCAAGATTGACCCGAGCAGCTGCCACAGCCGCCGCCCGGGCAGCAAGATTGACCCGAGCAGCTGCCACAGCCGCCGCCCGGGCAGCAAGATTGACCCGAGCAGCTGCCACAGCCGCCGCCCGGGCAGCAAGATTGACCCGAGCAGCTGCCACAGCCGCCGCCCGGGCAGCAAGATTGACCCGAGCAGCTGCCACAGCCGCCGCCCGGGCAGCAAGATTGACCCGAGCAGCTGCCACAGCCGCCGCCCGGGCAGCAAGATTGACCCGAGCAGCTGCCACAGCCGCCGCCCGGGCAGCAAGATTGACCCGAGCAGCTGCCACAGCCGCCGCCCGGGCAGCAAGATTGACCCGAGCAGCTGCCACAGCCGCCGCCCGGGCAGCAAGATTGACCCGAGCAGCTGCCACAGCCGCCGCCCGGGCAGCAAGATTGACCCGAGCAGCTGCCACAGCCGCCGCCCGGGCAGCAAGATTGACCCGAGCAGCTGCCACAGCCGCCGCCCGGGCAGCAAGATTGACCCGAGCAGCTGCCACAGCCGCCGCCCGGGCAGCAAGATTGACCCGAGCAGCTGCCACAGCCGCCGCCCGGGCAGCAAGATTGACCCGAGCAGCTGCCACAGCCGCCGCCCGGGCAGCAAGATTGACCCGAGCAGCTGCCACAGCCGCCGCCCGGGCAGCAAGATTGACCCGAGCAGCTGCCACAGCCGCCGCCCGGGCAGCAAGATTGACCCGAGCAGCTGCCACAGCCGCCGCCCGGGCAGCAAGATTGACCCGAGCAGCTGCCACAGCCGCCGCCCGGGCAGCAAGATTGACCCGAGCAGCTGCCACAGCCGCCGCCCGGGCAGCAAGATTGACCCGAGCAGCTGCCACAGCCGCCGCCCGGGCAGCAAGATTGACCCGAGCAGCTGCCACAGCCGCCGCCCGGGCAGCAAGATTGACCCGAGCAGCTGCCACAGCCGCCGCCCGGGCAGCAAGATTGACCCGAGCAGCTGCCACAGCCGCCGCCCGGGCAGCAAGATTGACCCGAGCAGCTGCCACAGCCGCCGCCCGGGCAGCAAGATTGACCCGAGCAGCTGCCACAGCCGCCGCCCGGGCAGCAAGATTGACCCGAGCAGCTGCCACAGCCGCCGCCCGGGCAGCAAGATTGACCCGAGCAGCTGCCACAGCCGCCGCCCGGGCAGCAAGATTGACCCGAGCAGCTGCCACAGCCGCCGCCCGGGCAGCAAGATTGACCCGAGCAGCTGCCACAGCCGCCGCCCGGGCAGCAAGATTGACCCGAGCAGCTGCCACAGCCGCCGCCCGGGCAGCAAGATTGACCCGAGCAGCTGCCACAGCCGCCGCCCGGGCAGCAAGATTGACCCGAGCAGCTGCCACAGCCGCCGCCCGGGCAGCAAGATTGACCCGAGCAGCTGCCACAGCCGCCGCCCGGGCAGCAAGATTGACCCGAGCAGCTGCCACAGCCGCCGCCCGGGCAGCAAGATTGACCCGAGCAGCTGCCACAGCCGCCGCCCGGGCAGCAAGATTGACCCGAGCAGCTGCCACAGCCGCCGCCCGGGCAGCAAGATTGACCCGAGCAGCTGCCACAGCCGCCGCCCGGGCAGCAAGATTGACCCGAGCAGCTGCCACAGCCGCCGCCCGGGCAGCAAGATTGACCCGAGCAGCTGCCACAGCCGCCGCCCGGGCAGCAAGATTGACCCGAGCAGCTGCCACAGCCGCCGCCCGGGCAGCAAGATTGACCCGAGCAGCTGCCACAGCCGCCGCCCGGGCAGCAAGATTGACCCGAGCAGCTGCCACAGCCGCCGCCCGGGCAGCAAGATTGACCCGAGCAGCTGCCACAGCCGCCGCCCGGGCAGCAAGATTGACCCGAGCAGCTGCCACAGCCGCCGCCCGGGCAGCAAGATTGACCCGAGCAGCTGCCACAGCCGCCGCCCGGGCAGCAAGATTGACCCGAGCAGCTGCCACAGCCGCCGCCCGGGCAGCAAGATTGACCCGAGCAGCTGCCACAGCCGCCGCCCGGGCAGCAAGATTGACCCGAGCAGCTGCCACAGCCGCCGCCCGGGCAGCAAGATTGACCCGAGCAGCTGCCACAGCCGCCGCCCGGGCAGCAAGATTGACCCGAGCAGCTGCCACAGCCGCCGCCCGGGCAGCAAGATTGACCCGAGCAGCTGCCACAGCCGCCGCCCGGGCAGCAAGATTGACCCGAGCAGCTGCCACAGCCGCCGCCCGGGCAGCAAGATTGACCCGAGCAGCTGCCACAGCCGCCGCCCGGGCAGCAAGATTGACCCGAGCAGCTGCCACAGCCGCCGCCCGGGCAGCAAGATTGACCCGAGCAGCTGCCACAGCCGCCGCCCGGGCAGCAAGATTGACCCGAGCAGCTGCCACAGCCGCCGCCCGGGCAGCAAGATTGACCCGAGCAGCTGCCACAGCCGCCGCCCGGGCAGCAAGATTGACCCGAGCAGCTGCCACAGCCGCCGCCCGGGCAGCAAGATTGACCCGAGCAGCTGCCACAGCCGCCGCCCGGGCAGCAAGATTGACCCGAGCAGCTGCCACAGCCGCCGCCCGGGCAGCAAGATTGACCCGAGCAGCTGCCACAGCCGCCGCCCGGGCAGCAAGATTGACCCGAGCAGCTGCCACAGCCGCCGCCCGGGCAGCAAGATTGACCCGAGCAGCTGCCACAGCCGCCGCCCGGGCAGCAAGATTGACCCGAGCAGCTGCCACAGCCGCCGCCCGGGCAGCAAGATTGACCCGAGCAGCTGCCACAGCCGCCGCCCGGGCAGCAAGATTGACCCGAGCAGCTGCCACAGCCGCCGCCCGGGCAGCAAGATTGACCCGAGCAGCTGCCACAGCCGCCGCCCGGGCAGCAAGATTGACCCGAGCAGCTGCCACAGCCGCCGCCCGGGCAGCAAGATTGACCCGAGCAGCTGCCACAGCCGCCGCCCGGGCAGCAAGATTGACCCGAGCAGCTGCCACAGCCGCCGCCCGGGCAGCAAGATTGACCCGAGCAGCTGCCACAGCCGCCGCCCGGGCAGCAAGATTGACCCGAGCAGCTGCCACAGCCGCCGCCCGGGCAGCAAGATTGACCCGAGCAGCTGCCACAGCCGCCGCCCGGGCAGCAAGATTGACCCGAGCAGCTGCCACAGCCGCCGCCCGGGCAGCAAGATTGACCCGAGCAGCTGCCACAGCCGCCGCCCGGGCAGCAAGATTGACCCGAGCAGCTGCCACAGCCGCCGCCCGGGCAGCAAGATTGACCCGAGCAGCTGCCACAGCCGCCGCCCGGGCAGCAAGATTGACCCGAGCAGCTGCCACAGCCGCCGCCCGGGCAGCAAGATTGACCCGAGCAGCTGCCACAGCCGCCGCCCGGGCAGCAAGATTGACCCGAGCAGCTGCCACAGCCGCCGCCCGGGCAGCAAGATTGACCCGAGCAGCTGCCACAGCCGCCGCCCGGGCAGCAAGATTGACCCGAGCAGCTGCCACAGCCGCCGCCCGGGCAGCAAGATTGACCCGAGCAGCTGCCACAGCCGCCGCCCGGGCAGCAAGATTGACCCGAGCAGCTGCCACAGCCGCCGCCCGGGCAGCAAGAACCCGAGCAGAACAGAGCTGCTGGGTCACTCACATGTGCTCCCCATCCCCATCCCCATTCCCATCCCCATCCCCATCCCCATCCCCATCCCCATCCCCATCCCCATCCCCATCCCCATCCCCATCCCCATCCCCATCCCCATCCCCATCCCCATCCCCATCCCCATCCCCATCCCCATCCCCATCCCCATCCCCATTCCCATTCCCATCAGGTGATTCGCCCCACGCTGAACGTGCAGCTGGCTGCAGGTGGCGTTGCCAGGCAGGCAGCTGGGTGTGAGCCCCAAGTGTGTGACTCTTTGCTTACTGGCCCTCCCCCGATCCTCATCCCTCTCCCACACTCCCATTCCTATTTTGACGCCCCTATCTTATTCTCTTCCCATCAGGTCATTCGCCCCACGCTGAACGTGCAGCTGGCGGCTAATGGCATTGCCAGGCAGCTGGGTGTGGCAGCAGGGGCGCTGGTGCTCGGGGTGAGTGCGGTGGTGTGGGATGGGGAGAGATGTGTGCTTCACTGGCACATGGGGGGTGAGTGTGGGGTATGAATGGCTAGCACATGGGGCATGCGGCTGATGGCATTGCCAGGCAGCTGGGTGTGGCTGCAGGGGCGCTGGTGCTTGGGGTGAGTGTGGGGTGAGTGTGGGAAGAGTGGTGGTGAGTGGAGTGAGTGTGGTGTGGTTTCATTATTGACGTTATGCATGGTGCATGGTGCATGGTGCAGGGTGCAGGGTTTTTGCATGACATATGGTGGCTGCCACTATGCTTCATCTCCATTGGGCAGCCTCCCACCTTTCCCTTACCTGTGCCCAAATTTTCTTCCTCCTCCACCTTTTCCCCCTCTCTCCCTCCTCCCACCCCTCCCCAGGTGAAGCCAGGGTCAGCAGCAGCCAAGGCAGGAGTGACGGCCACAAGGAGAGGCTTTGCAGGCAACATTGTGCTGGGAGATGTGATTGTAGCGATTGATCAATACACTGTAAGTGATTTGTAGCGTTATCATTTGTAACGTTATCATTTGTAACTTCTATTGCTGGCTGCCTATTGATTGGCTAAGTTTGCTGCCACTCACTCAACCCATCTCTTCCCCACCTTGAACCTTGGTGAAATGAAACTCTCAACGCAAGTGCAGGTGAAAATGGCTGCTGATGTGGACAAGGCCCTGGATGACCTGTCAGCGGGTCAAGCAGTGTCGCTTCAATTATTGAGAAATGGCGAGAAAGTGACGGTGCAATTTCCTCTTGAAGAGTCTTGATAAGAATCAGAATGGCAACGAATTGTACGCGCATGCATAGAGCAATCGTTATGATACATGGGATGGCTAACAGGGGTATTAGTTAGGATTGCTCCTTCGTTGGTATATTTCTCCATTATGAAAGCAGCATCTTTGTTCTGTCAAAAATAAAGTTAAAGCGTTCGTGCTTTGATAATGAATCATTAGCTAAAGCTGTTCTTTATTGTGGAAAGGTTCCTTCTTCGTGTAAGCACCATATCTATTCTTTTACAGTACAGATTCAACTGTTACGCGTGTATCGCGAATCTGTTTGTGGACAGACAATTGTTGCGATCTCCTCTTGGTTGCTTGTGATCGATCTCCACTGTTGCCGGAGCCAATACGAGCCTCCAGCGTGGTTACCTCTCAATGTGCTCCAATCATCTCGCGACTCAAATTCACAAAGTCCTCAATAGGAGCCACGTCATTCGGGTTACCACTCCCAGCATGACCCATTACTGGACGTGTCGCGGACCAGTATCTCCGAGAAGAAAAGACATTGACTTCGTCCTTGGGTCTAAGAACCAGTTGTGTGCGTGAATCTTAGAAGCCTGTCGCGAATCGCGAGCAAGTTAGTCTGTTGAAAGCACTGAATGTGCAACAGACGAGCTTTCTCGTGATTGCAACTTCCTCCTGCTTTTCTGCTGTCAATTGCACCACGGTTTGTTTGACTTTCGATTAAAAAAAAATAGCGAATTCGGTGTGCTTCACAAGTTGTCAGGACCAAGTATAAGGACAGTAGTAAAGCTCATCGCTGTACACCTGAAAATCTGAACAAAGCCGGTTGGGTTGTGGAAGATGCTCGCCGTGCAAGCACAGCATCCCTACTGCGCTCCCTGCTTGTTTCGCTCAGATGTGTTTCGCCAAACTTCGTCGCGCCAAACTTTCCGTCGCGAAATCTCGTCTCGCCGTTATTCAGTAGCAGTATCTTGGTGTCCGTCCAGCCACCTGCGGTTGCGCAGTAGGAATGCGCGCACCGACAATGCAGCTGCGTCGAAGCTTCCTCGTAATCGCAGGCGTTTCTTGATACGCGCGTCGCAATCGGGCGACGCGCAGACGTCTGGTGAAAGGACGTTAAAGGCAATTAGGGATGCTGCGGGGGCAAAAGGCGGAGCGGCCGCCGAAAAATCCGGCGGAGGAAACGGCGGAGATGCCGGTAGTAGCAGCAGCAGCAGCAGCAGCAGCGCAATCGGCGCTGGAACGCGCATTAGCGTATAAGGCTAAGAGACAGCAGCAGCAACAGCAGCAGCAGTCAGGAGGGACCGCAATCGCCGCAGCAACAACACCTGCTGACGTCAATGCTACCGCTTCCGGCGGTAGTAACACTTCAAGCAGCAGCAATGGCGGAACTGCTGCTGCTGTTACCAGCAGTGAAACCAGAGGTATCACCACAAGCAGCACTGTTACTACTGGTAACCCGACCAGCAGTGGTAACCCTACCAGCAGCGGCGTACGATCGTACGCGGATCAGGTGGCGGAAATGGCGGCAGCTCTGGCAGCGCGGGAAGCAGAGCAGGGGAAAGCACAGCAGCAGCAGCAGGGGGACGATGAGGGCAAGGGGAAGGGAAAGGGAAAGGGGGGGGAGGGGAAGGAGGAGGCGGAAGATCCGGATATTATCGAGGTCGAGATTGTAACGAGGGACGGAGTGATTAAGCGGCGGACTAAGCGGTCCGAGATGGAGTGGGGAGGGTCCACCGGCGGCAAGAGCGCCAGACCCGGCGGAATCGGCGGCGGGATTGGCGGCGGGATTGGCGGCGGGATTGGCGGCGGGGGAATAGGCGGCGGAATGATGGGGAATCCCGGGGTAGCCGGGGCGCGCGCGCGCAGCGCGTCGACTCTGTCCGTTTCCGGCGCGGATTTCCTGGGATTGGGGTTTCAGGAGGAGCGGGAGAAGCAGCAGGGACGGGGGAAGGGCCCGCTGCCAGCTGGGCTGCAGGCTGACGTGGATTTCGACCCGGCCACGTCAGCAGGCGGTCTGCCGCAAGTGGAGATGATCGTCGGGTCGCGTGTGATTACAAAGAGGGGGGAGGCGCCGGGGGAGCAGCGGCAGGGGGGGCGCAGGGGGAGGGGGAAGGGGGATCGGGGGAGGCGGAGAGGGGGGAGCGGAGAGGGGGGAGCGGAGAGGGGGGAGCGGAGAGGGGGGAGCGGAGAGGGGGGAGCGGAGAGGGGGGAGCGGAGAGGGGGGAGCGGAGAGGGGGGAGCGGAGAGGGGGGAGCGGAGAGGGGGGAGCGGAGAGGGGGGAGCGGAGAGGGGGGAGCGGAGAGGGGGGAGCGGAGAGGGGGGAGCGGAGAGGGGGGAGCGGAGAGGGGGGAGCGGAGAGGGGGGAGCGGAGAGGGGGGAGCGGAGAGGGGGGAGCGGAGAGGGGGGAGCGGAGAGGGGGGAGCGGAGAGGGGGGAGCGGAGAGGGGGGAGCGGAGAGGGGGGAGCGGAGAGGGGGGAGCGGAGAGGGGGGAGCGGAGAGGGGGGAGCGGAGAGGGGGGAGCGGAGAGGGGGGAGCGGAGAGGGGGGAGCGGAGAGGGGGGAGCGGAGAGGGGGGAGCGGAGAGGGGGGGCGGAGCGGAGAGGGGGGAGCGGAGAGGGGGGAGCGGAGAGGGGGGAGCGGAGAGGGGGGAGCGAGTATAAGCCAAAGGTTGCGACATGGGGGGTATTCCCGAGGCCAAGAGACATCTCTAGAACGGTGAGCGGGAGGGGGAAGGGGAGAAGCTGAGGAGGAAGTTGAGGGAATAACTTTTTCATTTAGCACCTCAGTTGTAGAATTGTTGCCCTTTGTTTGCCCTTTGGAGGTGGGGGGTATTCCCAAAGCCGAGCGACATTTCGAGAATGGCAAGAGGGAGGGAGAGGGAGGGAGGGAGAGGGAGAGAGGGAGAGGGAGGGAGAGGGAGGGAGGGAGAGGGAGAGAGGAGAGGGAGGGAGAGGGAGGGAGAGGGAGAGAGGGAAGGGGGAAGTTTTTGAGTCGACTCAAATACAGGAGAAGGAGACGGGTTGGGGGAAGTTGAGGGAATGAATTTCCTTTTCCGTACTGAAGGCTGCGAGACCACACCAATGCAGATGCCATCTCCACCGTTTTCCGCCACTCTTTCCCGACAGCCTTCCTTTTTCTCCCCTTTTCCGCATTCAGTACGGCACGGTGGAGGGTGCACCATCAGGCCAGGGGAGGTGCTAGAGACGGAAGAAGAGAAGAGGGAGCGGGAGGCGAAGACACGAAGCCTCCTGGGTGGATAGAGCCGGTGCATTGAAGAGTGCGAGTTCCCACCATTGCTGATGTCGTTTCCACCGTTCTCTACCCCTCTTTCTCACTGTGTGCCCTTCGGTACGGCGGAGAGCACACCATCAGGCCGGGGGAGGCGCTAGAGACAGAGGAGGAGAAGCGAGAGAGGGACGAGAAGACACGACGGCTGTTAGATGGATAGAGCCGGCATACTGAAGGGTTGCTGATGCCAACTCCACCGTTCTCCACCCCTCTTCCCCATCAACCGTTCTTCCCGTCAGTATGGTGGAGGGCGCACCATCAGGCCGGGGGAGGCGCTAGAGATGGAGGAGGAGAAGCGGGAGAGGGAGGAGAAGACGAGAAGGCTGCTGGACGAATTGAACTGGGATGCTAAAGGGTTCAGTGCACCCATCATTGCTGATACCATCTCCACCGTTCTCAACCCTTTTTGCTTCTCCCTCTCTCTCCCTTTCAGTATGGCGGAGGGCGCACCATCAGGCCGGGAGAGGCACTGGAGACGGAGGAGGAGAAGCGACGAATGCTGCTGGGTGAATGCAGCCGGCACATTGAAGGGTGTGAGAACTCCACCATTGCTGATGCCATCTCCACCGTTCTCCACCGTTCTCCACCCTCCTGTGTCTCCCCCTCTTCAGTACGGCGGAGGGCGCACCATCAGGCCGGGGGAAGTGCTAGAGACGGAGGAGGAGAAGCGGGAGAGGGGCCAGGGCAGGCTGAGGGGCCAGGGCAGGCTGAGGGGCCAGGGCAGGCTGAGGGGCCAGGGCAGGCTGAGGGGCCAGGGCAGGCTGAGGGGCCAGGGCAGGCTGAGGGGCCAGGGCAGGCTGAGGGGCCAGGGCAGGCTGAGGGGCCAGGGCAGGCTGAGGGGCCAGGGCAGGCTGAGGGGCCAGGGCAGGCTGAGGGGCCAGGGCAGGCTGAGGGGCCAGGGCAGGCTGAGGGGCCAGGGCAGGCTGAGGGGCCAGGGCAGGCTGAGGGGCCAGGGCAGGCTGAGGGGCCAGGGCAGGCTGAGGGGCCAGGGCAGGCTGAGGGGCCAGGGCAGGCTGAGGGGCAGGCCATGGGGCAGGGAGCAGCGCTGATGGAGAAGGGCAGGTTGAGGGAGGCACTGGAGCAATTTGGCGTGGTGGTGGTGGGTGGGTGGGTGGGTCAGAGCATGCTCCCACCCCGGTACCCCACTCTCCCCATGCCCCATACCCCACTCTCCCCATGTCGAGGGTTGGAGTTTTAACTCCGGGGTTCTGGGTTGGGTTTCAGGTTCAGTGCGGGGTTTGGTAGACGCTCAAAGCGCGACCTTCCAGATCGAGATGCTGAGGTTTCCCAGAACCCTTCCACACCAAGCGAGTCAGGCTGCCAGGAAGGTCTGAGATGTTCAGAGATGTCAGGCTGAACACGAGTCAGGGTTCTGAGATGCGAGTCAGGATTTCCAGAACCCTTCCAGACCGAGTGAGTCAGGGTTCTGAGATGCGAGTCAGGATTCCCAGAACCCTTCCAGACCGAGCGAGTCAGGGTTCTGAGATGCGAGTCAGGATTCCCAGAACCCTTCCAGACCGAGCGAGTCAGGGTTCTGAGATGCGAGTCAGGATTCCCAGAACCCTTCCAGACCGAGCGAGTCAGGGTTCTGAGATGCGAGTCAGGATTCCCAGAACCCTTCCAGACCGAGCGAGTCAGGGTTCTGAGATGCGAGTCAGGATTCCCAGAACCCTTCCAGACCGAGCGAGTCAGGGTTCTGAGATGCGAGTCAGGATTCCCAGAACCCTTCCAGACCGAGCGAGTCAGGGTTCTGAGATGCGAGTCAGGATTCCCAGAACCCTTCCAGACCGAGCGAGTCAGGGTTCTGAGATGCGAGTCAGGATTCCCAGAACCCTTCCAGACCGAGCGAGTCAGGGTTCTGAGATGCGAGTCAGGATTCCCAGAACCCTTCCAGACCGAGCGAGTCAGGGTTCTGAGATGCGAGTCAGGATTCCCAGAACCCTTCCAGACCGAGCGAGTCAGGGTTCTGAGATGCGAGTCAGGATTCCCAGAACCCTTCCAGACCGAGCGAGTCAGGGTTCTGAGATGCGAGTCAGGATTCCCAGAACCCTTCCAGACCGAGCGAGTCAGGGTTCTGAGATGCGAGTCAGGATTCCCAGAACCCTTCCAGACCGAGCGAGTCAGGGTTCTGAGATGCGAGTCAGGATTCCCAGAACCCTTCCAGACCGAGCGAGTCAGGATTCCCAGTGCCACACGCCACACGCTCTCCTCCTTTCCTTTGGCACACGCCACACGCTCTCATTCTTTCCTTTGCCACACGCCACACGCTCTCATTCTTTCCTTTGCCACACGCCACACGCTCTCATTCTTTCCTTTGCCACACGCCACACGCTCTCATTCTTTCCTTTGCCACACGCCACACGCTCTCCTCCTTTCCTTTGGCACACGCCACACGCTCTCATTCTTTCCTTTGCCACACGCCACACGCTCTCCTCCTTTCCTTTGGCACACGCCACACGCTCTCATTCTTTCCTTTGGCACACGCTCTCATTCTTTCCTTTGGCACACGCTCTCATTCTTTCCTTTGGCACACGCTCTCATTCTTTCCTTTGGCACACCCTCTCATTCTTTCCTTTGGCACACGCTCTCATTCTTTCCTTTGGCACACGCTCTCATTCTTTCCTTTGGCACACGCTCTCATTCTTTCCTTTGGCACACCCTCTCATTCTTTCCTTTGGCACACACTCTCATTCTTTCCTTTGGCACACCCTCTCATTCTTTCCTTTGGCACACCCTCTCATTCTTTCCTTTGGCACACCCTATCATTCTTTCCTTTGGCACACCCTCTCATTCTTTCCTTTGGCACACCCTCTCATTCTTTCCTTTGGCACACCCTCTCATTCTTTCCTTTGGCACACCCTCTCATTCTTTCCTTTGGCACACCCTCTCATTCTTTCCTTTGGCACACCCTCTCATTCTTTCCTTTGGCACACCCTCTCATTCTTTCCTTTGGCACACCCTCTCATTCTTTCCTTTGGCACACCCTCTCATTCTTTCCTTTGGCACACCCTCTCATTCTTTCCTTTGGCACACCCTCTCATTCTTTCCTTTGGCACACCCTCTCATTCTTTCCTTTGGCACACCCTCTCATTCTTTCCTTTGGCACACCCTCTCATTCTTTCCTTTGGCACACCCTCGCATTCTTTCCTTTGGCACACCCTATCATTCTTTCCTTTGGCACACCCTCTCATTCTTTCCTTTGGCACACCCTCTCATTCTTTCCTTTGGCACACCCTCTCATTCTTTCCTTTGGCACACCCTCTCATTCTTTCCTTTGGCACACCCTCTCATTCTTTCCTTTGGCACACCCTCTCATTCTTTCCTTTGGCACACCCTCTCATTCTTTCCTTTGGCACACCCTCTCATTCTTTCCCTTGGCACACCCTCTCATTCTTTCCTTTGCCACACGCCACACGCTCTCCTCCTTTCCTTTGGCACACGCCACACGCTCTCCTTCTTTCCTTTGCCACACGCCACACGCTCTCATTCTTTCCTTTGCCACACGCCACACGCTCTCATTCTTTTCTTTGGCACACGCCACATGCTCTCCTCCTTTCCTTTGGCACACGCCACACGCTCTCATTCTTTCCTTTGGCACACGCTCTCATTCTTTCCTTTGGCACACGCTCTCATTCTTTCCTTTGGCACACGCTCTCATTCTTTCCTTTGGCACACGCTCTCATTCTTTCCTTTGGCACACCCTCTCATTCTTTCCTTTGGCACACGCTCTCATTCTTTCCTTTGGCACACGCTCTCATTCTTTCCTTTGGCACACGCTCTCATTCTTTCATTTGGCACACCCTCTCATTCTTTCCTTTGGCACACCCTCTCATTCTTTCCTTTGGCACACCCTCTCATTCTTTCCTTTGGCACACCCTCTCATTCTTTCCTTTGGCACACGCTCTCATTCTTTCCTTTGGCACACGCTCTCATTCTTTCCTTTGGCACACCCTCTCATTCTTTCCTTTGGCACACCCTCTCATTCTTTCCTTTGGCACACCCTCTCATTCTTTCCTTTGGCACACCCTCTCATTCTTTCCTTTGGCACACCCTCGCATTCTTTCCTTTGGCACACCCTATCATTCTTTCCTTTGGCACACCCTCTCATTCTTTCCTTTGGCACACCCTCTCATTCTTTCCTTTGGCACACCCTCTCATTCTTTCCTTTGGCACACCCTCTCATTCTTTCCTTTGGCACACCCTCTCATTCTTTCCTTTGGCACACCCTCTCATTCTTTCCTTTGGCACACCCTCTCATTCTTTCCTTTGGCACACCCTCTCATTCTTTCCTTTGGCACACCCTCTCATTCTTTCCTTTGCCACACGCCACACGCTCTCCTCCTTTCCTTTGGCACACGCCACACGCTCTCCTTCTTTCCTTTGCCACACGCCACACGCTCTCCTCCTTTCCTTTGCCACACGCCACACGCTCTCATTCTTTCCTTTGCCACACGCCACACGCTCTCCTCCTTTCCTTTGCCACACGCCACACGCTCTCATTCTTTCCTTTGCCACACGCCACACGCTCTCATTCTTTCCTTTGGCACACGCCACATGCTCTCCTCCTTTCCTTTGGCACACGCCACACGCTCTCATTCTTTCCTTTGGCACACGCTCTCATTCTTTCCTTTGGCACACGCTCTCATTCTTTCCTTTGGCACACGCTCTCATTCTTTCCTTTGGCACACCCTCTCATTCTTTCCTTTGGCACACCCTCTCATTCTTTCCTTTGGCACACCCTCTCATTCTTTCCTTTGGCACACCCTCTCATTCTTTCCTTTGGCACACCCTCGCATTCTTTCCTTTGGCACACCCTATCATTCTTTCCTTTGGCACACCCTCTAATTCTTTCCTTTGGCACACCCTCTCATTCTTTCCTTTGGCACACCCTCTCATTCTTTCCTTTGGCACACCCTCTCATTCTTTCCTTTGGCACACCCTCTCATTCTTTCCTTTGGCACACCCTCTCATTCTTTCCTTTGGCACACTCTCTCATTCTTTCCTTTGGCACACCCTCTCATTCTTTCCTTTGGCACACCCTCTCATTCTTTCCTTTGCCACACGCCACACGCTCTCCTCCTTTCCTTTGGCACACGCCACACGCTCTCCTTCTTTCCTTTGCCACACGCCACACGCTCTCCTCCTTTCCTTTGCCACACGCCACACGCTCTCATTCTTTCCTTTGCCACACGCCACACGCTCTCCTCCTTTCCTTTGCCACACGCCACACGCTCTCATTCTTTCCTTTGCCACACGCCACACGCTCTCCTCCTTTCCTTTGCCACACGCCACACGCTCTCATTCTTTCCTTTGCCACACGCCACACGCTCTCCTTCTTTCCTTTGCCACACGCCACACGCTCTCCTCCTTTCCTTTGGCACACGCCACACGCTCTCCTCCTTTCCTTTGCCACACGCCACACGCTCTCATTCTTTCCTTTGCCACACGCCACACGCTCTCCTCCTTTCCTTTGCCACACGCCACACGCTCTCATTCTTTCCTTTGCGCCACACGCTCTCATTCTTTCCTTTGGCACACGCCACATGCTCTCCTCCTTTCCTTTGGCACACGCCACACGCTCTCATTCTTTCCTTTGGCACACGCTCTCATTCTTTCCTTTGGCACACGCTCTCATTCTTTCCTTTGGCACACGCTCTCATTCTTTCCTTTGGCACACGCTCTCATTCTTTCCTTTGGCACACGCTCTCATTCTTTCCTTTGGCACACGCTCTCATTCTTTCCTTTGGCACACGCTCTCATTCTTTCCTTTGGCACACGCTCTCATTCTTTCCTTTGGCACACCCTCTCATTCTTTCCTTTGGCACACGCTCTCATTCTTTCCTTTGGCACACCCTCTCATTCTTTCCTTTGGCACACCCTCTCATTCTTTCCTTTGGCACACCCTCTCATTCTTTCCTTTGGCACACCCTCTCATTCTTTCCTTTGGCACACCCTCTCATTCTTTCCTTTGGCACACCCTCTCATTCTTTCCTTTGGCACACCCTCTCATTCTTTCCTTTGGCACACCCTCTCATTCTTTCCTTTGGCACACCCTCTCATTCTTTCCTTTGGCACACCCTCTCATTCTTTCCTTTGGCACACCCTCTCATTCTTTCCTTTGGCACACCCTCTCATTCTTTCCTTTGGCACACCCTCTCATTCTTTCCTTTGGCACACGCCACACGCTCTCCTCCTCCACTTTCACCAAGACAGACGAGGCCAAGGCCATGTATGAGAGGTTGACAGGTTGATCTGCTTCTTCTTGCTTCCATGTTTCCTTCCCCCCCCCCCCCACACGCACTCACCACCTCCCCTCCCCCCAACCCCCCATGCTTCCTCCCCCACCCACCCACACGC